GTGTGACTCCTGACACTTTTGGCACCTTTTTGTTAGAGATTTCAAGAGTAGCACTGCAGATGGATTTGCCATGTTTATTGGTTATGATACAGTCATATGTGCCCTCGTGATCTGTTGTTGGATAGAATATGGTGAGCTTTGAGTTGTTAGATTTCTTTATGATATCATAGTCAGGATTGTGGTCCAGTGGATGGCCGTCTTTGAGCCAGTTCACAGTAGGTGGAGGATCACCTTGGAACTGGCAGATAAACTCAGACATCTCGCCAACTTTTACTTTAAGTGAAGATATTTCTTTAACAAATACTGGATGTGAGCCTCCCAGACTTCCAAGATCTTTTATGTTTATGCTCACCACTCCCTCTCTTTCTGAATCATCCTGTCGACTAAGGGATGGGGAGCTTCTCCTGACTGGGGAAGGCTCACGATGGCTTTCATAAGAGGCAGAGGTAAGTTCATATTCCTCATAAGGACGCCCAGTGAGCTGGGTTGGAGAGTATTTCTGGACTGATGAAGCCTGAGAGTCCTTTTGATATCTTACAGGGGCATCAGGTGCACCCACATGGTGTAGCAAACTAGCATCTGCAGCGGGGTGCCTGGCCATAGAAGCCTCAAAAGGAGGTGACAGGTCACACTTTGCAATAGGCTGAAAAACTGACGGTTTTTCTGTTGAAAATAAATGTGGAGGTGGGGGTTCACTGGGGTGGGCTTCATGAGACATCCCACTATGATGGGGCTCACAATAAGTCAGGGGCAGTTGGGGCCACTCAGACTCAAGCTCAGCTGTATCCTCTTGTTCAACTGCATCCTGTTGCCATTTTAATATGCGCTGAGCCAGTGCTTCTTCCTCACTTACAAAGTACTCACTGTCCCTCTGCAGCCTTGTCACACGGCCCTCTGTTGGCAGTTCACCAGCCAGAGGCCACTGCAGAGTTTCACCCTCCTGGTCTTGGAAACCAGCAGGAGCAGACTCACTAGAAACACATTTCTCTCTGACTGTGTTTGCCAATTCTAAAGCAGAGGCCTCTGCGAGATTTGTTCCTGCCTCAGTGGTCTTCCCTGCCTGGAAAGGTGAGTAACCTTGAAGTTCTGCAGTCTGCTCTTGTTCCATTAAAACATCCTGTTGCCACTTTCTTATTCGCTGAGTCAAAGCCTCCTCTTCACTAATAAACTTCTCACTCTCACTCTTCAGGTCTGAGATGTTTTCCCTCGACAGCTGGAGCTCCTTTTCTGCTCTCGTCTTCTCAAACAGCATCTTCTCTGCTCTAGCTTTTGTTTCAGATCTAGACTCATATTCAGCTTCTGCTGCTTTAGCTTTAAATCTCTGCAATTTTTGTTTCTCATGTTCCAGTTCTTCTACTTTTGTTTTCATTTGTCCTTTGACCAACTGGGCAGATGTTTCAAGCTGCTCTGCTACACCTTTGACTTTAGGTACCATAGGCATTGGCACAGGAGCTATCTTTTTCTCCATTACTTCTTGTGGGGTGTGAATGTGCTTCTCACTCTCCTTGTACTGTGTGCCTGCTGGAATAGGCAGATCGGTTTCTGAGTTAAATGTCTCCTCTTCTGATATTCTCATGCCTTCTTGCCTGATCCCTAAGGGAAGGCGTTTCTCTTCGCATTCAGTTCCTCCAGTTTCTAGCTTCTTCTCATACGGAGCTCTAAAAAACTTGCCTGCAAACTGATCACATGGCTCAACCTGTTTTTCCCTTTTGCTGTCTGGTGTTTGTTTTTCACTAATAAATCTCTCTGAAATTCTGAATCTGTCCTCTGGCCTTGGTCTTGTTCTTGGTGACTTTTGGGACTTTTGCATCAGCGTCTGTGGTGCTGTGTCTTCTTCTAGCCCAATTGTCACTGTGGAAGCTTTTGTACCCACAGAGGCAGACCTTTCCACCTCTCTGCTTCTCATCTTTATTGTAGATGTGGGTGTTGATTGAGCCATTCCTTCAGGATTATCTTCCCATGCCTCTTTTTTGAGTGATTCATGAAAAGAGGAGTGCATGGCCTCAGTTTCCACAGTTGCTCGTTTCTCCTGCTGGTTGTAAATGTGCCCTGTGGGCTCTGTGGACTTTGCCTCAGGGACAATGGGCAGATCAGTTTCAGGATCATATGTCTCCTCTCCTGACATCCTACTCCCTTGCTGCCATTTCCTGATCCTCAGGGCAAGGAGTTTCTCCTCACAAGCTATTCGTTCAGCTTCCAGGCTCTTCTCGTAACGAGCCCTCAAATCCTCCCCAGCAAATGCTTCTTTACACAGATCAGCTGTTTCTGTTGCTGCTGTGTCTTCTCTAAGAAACCTCTCTCGGGTAGATGTGACTGACTTTGGCATGGTTGACTGTATGAGTAATGTTGCTTCTTGAGAAGGCAGACTTTTAACAGGTTCCCCACTTTCAGTGTACATTGTAGTTTCTGGGTAAACCGCTTTCTCACCGAGCGGTCCTTCAAGGTTACATGCTGTCATCCCAACATTTGTAACCTGCACCTTATGGTCATCAACCACATCTGCTTGTATTTCAACAAAACCCTTAACTTTTTTATCCTCTAGTTTCTCTGAATGTTTGTCGTCTGATGTCTTTTCTGTTTCTGACACACTTGTACTGACCAGCTCACCTCTCATTAATTGGATGGCCCTGGTTCTCGACTGAGGTTCGAATGAATGTCTAACACAAGGCTCAGCGGGATCCCTGCTAGAGGTTTTACCTTGAAACTCCCTGTACGTCTCACCCAAATCAAAGGGTCGATTGAAATGCTGAACATCAGGCAGAGAAGCAGGCTTGACCCTAAGTCTCTCAACATAATCTGCATAGCTTGACTCGCTGGCGACAGATTCTAACTCAAACTCAGAGGAAGACATGGTGGAAATAGAAAGCCTCTTTTTCTGTTTGACAGCTTTTTGGAGTGTAGTAAGTTTTGTTCTTACCTCATTGTGGAGACTTTCAGTGTCACTGAACCTCTCACTGTATCTGTCACTGCACCTGTCACTGAACTTATCACTGAACCTGGTGCCAGTGCGTCGGTCACAGTAGATGTCACTGAATCTGTCGTTGAAGCGCTCAGATCTGTCAAACATCGGGGTAGGAGACAGGGCACGCTCAGAGGCAGTTTCTAACCGCTTAGACTCCTTTTCTGGTTCCTTGTCTTCTGAATGGGAACCAGGCATGAAGTACACAGTACGCACAAGAGCACTCTTAGATCGAGATCTACCCTGATGGACCTTGGACATTTTGTCAAAAGGAGACCCGACATATCTGAGGTCAACCCTAAACTTCCTCTCTTTCCTCTGCTCTGCCATGGTATCGATGCTCTCGTGGGCTTTAGCAGTGCGTCTAATAAAGCCAAGATAGTTAGCAGACTGCTCTTCCCTCAGTGACACCAGAAGTGATGCTGTGGATTCTGCAGAACCCTCTATGTTTATTGCCATTACCTTATAACTGCCCGAGTCCTTTTCTTTGACACCATGAATAACTAGACTGGTAGTGTGAACATGCATTTTGCTGTCAGTGTAGATCCTGCGTCTATGCTCTTTAGGTATAGATCTGTTATTATGAAACCAGAGGATAGTAGGAGGAGGGCAGGCAATCAGTTTACATTTGAACTCTGCTGCCTCCCCTTCTAAGACGGACTGAAACTTAAGTTTCTTTGTGAAAGATGGTTTCATGTTTTCTGTCCATGAGCTGATGGATGAAGTCCTGCTGGAGCAACGATTGGCTGACACCAGGCCATGATCTATGAAATCCTCAGTGTCGGAGAAGGCTCCTCTAAGCTGCCAAGTGGCAGTGAGTTCTGTGCTGCAATGCACAGTTTCTTCTTTTCTTTGAGGACAGAACAGTTCTGCAAACAGAAATGGACAACTGTCAGACCAACACAGTTTCCAGGGGTAAAAACTGAAAAAAGGACTTGAATGAATCATTAATGGAAATATTAAATGCATGCAAGGACTCACAATGCCATAAGAAAATTCACTCACCATATTTGTTCGAATAAACGCAAGACTTGATTCTTTTTATTAGAAACCTGCAGGAAGTTTTGATCCTTCGTCTGTGGAAATTTCTTCAAAACATATATTATTTTGTTGTGATTAAAGAAGCATATTTTCAAGATGGACTGCTACCGTTTGCGTGTTTTAGTTCTTGAAACTTGTTTTATGCTAGAATATTTCTTACCTGACTTGCAGACAGAAGAATAAACGCCCTTTCTAATCCTTAAACTTAAACAGGGAATGAAAGATGCGCACGTATGAGATGCAGAACTCTCTAAAAACAAATATTATATTCCAAAATTAACCAATGAAGCAGCAGAATTTGGTGAGACGGCGTTTATTCGAACTAATATAGGTTTACTGGGGTTATTTAGAAAGCAAACCACAGGAATCACATTCCACTATCTGCAAGCCAGGCTAAGAAATATTTTGCAGGAGGAAGGTATCAGTTCCAGATTTGGCAATCCTCCATGTCTTTAAAAAATACAGACCCGCGTTTTTCTGGGAAGAAAATCAGATGAACTTTCATGCCAAAGATAAATAAACTTTTGAATGCAAACTGCTCAAGTTCAACAAATTCTCACCTGAGGGAAACCACAAAATATTATCAAAGTAAGACCAGATGGAATATGAAAGATAATTTAGAAAGTGTTTATATATATATATATATATATATATTTATTTA